ATATATATATATATATATATAATATTTTATATATCCTTATTAACTAATAAAATATATAAAAAATATATCACTACTAAATAATAAAAGCACTATTTTTTGCATAAAGGTAATGAGAATTTGGGTATGAAACATGCTTAAATGCCCTGAAAAATATCATAGTAAATAGTCAGTACAAATAATTATAATAAACTTAAAACTGCTAACATTTTCTTCAAGCAAATTATAATTCATCCATTGGTTGTTTGGTTTGTTGCTTATCTGTAAACCTTATCAAATATGGCTTTTTACTTCGATTAAATTTAGGTGTAATTCTACATATAAATGTAGACAAAATATTGTCTAAAATTAAAAGTAAAATGTAATTTTTTCTTTTACAAGGCAATAGACATACTTTTGGAGTTGAACACAAATCAGACTTTTTGTGTATGTAAAAGTTTCACAATTTACACTGACAAGCAAATTAAAAACAACAGTAATATATATATATATATACACATATATATACACACACACACACATATATATATATATATATACACACACACACACACACACTGTATTCATATTTTTGTCACTTGTGTTACCCCCCCTGTTTAAAATCCAGGGCTAATGCAAAATTCTGTTCATTCATAATTCATCATATAGCCTTCTACAAAGCACATTAAGGCTGTTCAGGTAGGTTTGTATAGTATCACTACATCAATTAATGACATATACAGTTTTGAACTGTAACATTTAAATCTGTACAGGATTTAGAGATGGTTATACCTTGAGCGACTTTAATGGTATGAACCAAAAATGGTCCAATGTGTACCTGGGTACGAGGGAGTCTCCTCCTCTGAGGGTGGTGGGATCCAGCTCAAATATGGAGGAGATGTCATTGCCATCGGGGACAGACACGAGGGTGTACATGACCTTCTCGTTGGGCGTTCGCAGACGTGCTCGCAGAACTTCATGCTCTGAGTCAAGCTAGAGGAGAGAGGAGAACACGTAACCATGGAGACACAACACTTCGCTCGGCTTATTGATTACGTCAGTGGTTCCCAACCCTGGTCCTGGTGGCACCCCAACACTGCACGTTTTGCATGTCTCCTTAATCAAACACACCTGATTCAGGTCATCAGCTCATTAGTAGAGACTCCAAGACCTGAAATTGGTGTGTCAGAGGAAGGAGACATGCAAAATGTGCAGTGTTGGGGTGCCTCCAGGACCAGGGTTGGGAACCACTGGATTACGTGACTGAAATAAAACCGGTCTTAAGTGATGCCATTAGCCGATGAAACAATCTTTGACTCATGACATGTTTACAACTTCGCATGTGACCTGAAATTCCTCAAAGCATACAAGAATATGACAAAGAAGAATATGAAATCTCTTGATCAGTCTCACAGTGCAGTATATGTGTGTTCCAGCAAAACAAGTTTAGCATTTTTTTAAGTCAACAATAGAGCTAACTGCTGTTCTTGGTTAATTTCAGGAAATTTTCACTAGAATGTCACAGAATGTCACAAACCTGTGCAAAGGGTCTGTCATCAAGAAACAATTATTAAATTGAGAATTGCGAGCAAAGCTTAGTAAGGACATGCACACTAGCAACAGGAGTGACCGCTTAAAGCGAGTCGAGGTGTTATACTGCCACCTACAGGCGATGAGCTGCACTGCTCAAACTGCTTTACTCCTAACTATAGTGCCACCTTGTGGTTGGTTAAAGAATACATCCTAGAAATTATTGCACCCCAACTGTTAAATAAACTATAAATTCAATATGAAAAAATCGCTAAAAATTTGTTCAATTACTTCCTTTTTTATTTATTTGTTTTAAGTTAAATAGTGCATTTATTTTCTGAAATTAAACTGAATTTGTCTTAAAGAAATATTCTGGGGTTCAATTCAAGTTAGATTCAACAGCATTTACGCCCTAAAATCATTTTTTTAAATTATTATTATTTTGACTTGTTCCTGATTTTCTTATTTTAAAAAAATCTGTAATGCATATGAAGGTTTTAAAAATAGAAATGTGAAGCTTGTATCTTTGTTAAAACAATTGCATTATTTGTTCCTTAAAATATGTCAGTGCAGTTCCTATGTTTTGGATTTTTCTCTTTGGATGTAAATATTCACCTTTCTGCATCCATGCACGTATGATGCAAAAGTTACAGGGTTCACTTTATATAATCATAACAGTTTTAATATTTGAATTTTACACAAAAAAGGCTGGTAGGGATTTTACATTTACATTTCATGTTTTGTAGCTAAACAAAACGAAACAATGTGTGTTTTAACATTTAATTCAATGTGTTTCCCCCATTACTTTCATTGTAACCAGTGTTGTTATTGTTAACTAAAACCAAAACTAAACTATAAAAATAGTTTTCAGTAATTTAAATAAATATATAAACTTAAATGAAAATTAATTAGATATGAAAAGTAACTGAAATAAATTAAGGTTGAAGTATTAACTTTAAGTATTAAGCCAATTCAAAATATTTATAAATTGTAAAATAGTCTATAGATAATACTAAAATAACACTGTGACTGACTTTTGCCCACAAATGCTGTTGATATATCATAGCATGTACAGAACCACATTTTAAAGCTATAATGAGCAATAAAATCAAACAAAACTGCACAAAACACAAACACATACTGTATAGAATACGTGGAGCTATGCAAAGAGTATTATAGGGAACAGTACTAAAGGCCTTTGGCATGAAGATGAAGCTACATAAGCTTTGTCTGACAGTACCTGGAAGTTAAAGGGTGAAAAATCTGCCACCTGGAACAGGAGACAAAAATTCAGCCAGCAGTTTAGATAAGCTGATAATACACCTAAATTGTATGCCAACTATTTAACAGAAATATAACTACTTACAGATGAACGTGATTCCTGTGACTCTTCTTCATAGTCAGGATTAGCCTGTGGACAGATAAATCACCAAAAATGTCCTCAAAATACTAAAGGAAATCAGATTATTTTATTTGACAGGCAACTGATCAGGAAATTGATTGATTGATTTATTAGGCACAACCTAATAAAACCACAAAGTCAGGGTCCTGATCTGTGAGTATGGCTTACTTGGTTAGAGAGATATGTTTCAAGACTTGACATAAATACAAGACTTTCCCTTATTTAAGGCTTATGCACACAATTTAAAAATTAACCCCTTTTACTTTCTTAATATATGTTCCTTGGCCCACTTTAAATAATTGGTGTACATTATTACTAAGAAAAAATATTACCATTAACAGGTCAAAGTATTTTTTTATATTAACTGAAATGAAGCTGAAATTAAATAAAATATAAATATTAGATGAAAAATTTAACTAAAAGAAAATGAGCACTAACATTACTAACTGAAGATAAATAAAACCTAAAAATGACATAAAAATAAATTAAACCTAAATAGTCAAAATAAATACTCGTTTACAAAAAAAAAAACTAACAAAATTATCAAAAGCATATCTCAAAACTACATTAAAACTAAACTAAAATTAAACTAAAATAAAAACTAGGGATGCACCGATACTATTTTTTCACAACCAATCCAATTCCAATATCAAAATTATTGGCTATACAAAAGTATTGGCTGATAATGATCTGATGTTTTTTCCTTGATCATTTTTTTCCATTGTATATCCTGTTTCCCTATGAAATGCATCAAATTTTGAAGTAAAAAAGGACTGTGATTGAGAATATATATATATATATGTGTGTCTAAATGTAAATATATTTATGTCTAAATGTAAATATATTAATTTATTTTTAATTTTTTCCCAGGTTTATGTCAAAATATCCTTAAACATCTCTGGCTACCCAAGTTAGCCACGTTCAAAGAACAGCACCACAGAAGTGATTAAAGCTGCACTATGTACGATTTAACCAGTCTGGCATCTAACAGAGCAGGTTTGAGGCTGTGACGGAAACATTCAGAGGAATGCTGATAATCTTACAGACTGCAGTTTTTAGCCAGAGAAAATCTAGAGGAAGTTAGTAAGGTTCCCTACCCAGTGGGAGAGGTTAGTGCTGATCTGGGAACAGCTGAGGGAGGATCCCGAGCTAGTAGAACATACCTCACTCACCTCTGCTGCCAGGTAGTGTCCTGTGGCCAAGTGTTTAAACCTGAAAAGACTATTCCAATAACCAGCGCCACCACGACACGGGTCATGCTGAACCACCTGAAATATGAGATTGGGAGGAATGTCACAATTAGCATATGAGATACTTAAAGAGACCGTTCACTCAAAATGACAATAAAACTCCTAAAACCCATAAACAAGTTTTTGTGTTTTTAGAATGGGTTTTGGTTAAATGCCAAATAGAAACATGTGGAAAAATAATCTACAAATACTGAAGCAGCAAACTTTGCAAAACACAAAATGTGTCACTGCCAAAACTTTTGGCCATGACTGTGTGTGTATATATATATATATATATATATATACACTATGGGGCTGCTGAATGCTTGAATCTGATTGGCTGATGAATGTTCGAAGGTGTGCAATTATTTTCAGGGAAACGCATAGCTAAAGTAGTTCCAGGCAGGTCTTGACCCCATTACATGTTCATATCACTTCGGCAAATGATTTTAGTTATTTCAAAGGTCCTTACAGCCTACAACAGCAAAAGAACCAAAACCCACAACGATACTGACCAAGCAAATAAATTTAGTAAACAAAAGATTTTAAAAAAAAAAGACTTCTATGTTTTTGCCACAAATTTTGATTTTATTATGTATGGAGAGCACATACTCTATTTATCTTTCTCTCTCTCTCCCTCCCTCTCTCACTCTCTCTCTGCCTAATAACTTCATTATTAACTGAATTAGTCTGCTATCAATGGCTCACGGCTCCGTTACTAGGTCTAAAATGACGTTTTGGAATTAACAACGCCTGCGTTGGATGAGATGCATAAGAAATTAATCTTACACACAAGAGCGTTTTAAGGTCAAAAACCTGGCGAATGTCTTGAAATATATCATCTGAACAATATGTGAAGTGTGGCAACTGTAGTATAAGCGGAATAATTGACTCCGGTCTGTTGAATTATTAAAAATTGTTAATTTATTTTATATTTGTTATTAAAAATATTTAGGCCATTTAATGAAGTTGTGTTAATTTGTGAAGATTTTCTTAATGGACAACACATGCAACTCACCTCCACTTCCCACAATGCTTTGCTGCTGGTGGCAGAGGTGGCAGACTGGCGGCCGGTGGTTCGCAGGAACACATATTGCTTCTTCCTGTGTTCATCGCAAGTGAGAAACTTCTCCTGCTCGGCATGAAACAGCCGAACCACGTCACCCTTAGCAACCAGAAAGAAGGAATTAGCAACATCAAATTCTAAAATATGTCATGTGTCTGTGAGGCACCTACCCCTTTAAGAATGGCTTCCTTGTTGTCACTCCATTTCATAAATAAAACAATCTTCCAGCTAGTGTTGCAGTTCACCGAGTTCACCTGAGGAGAACGGAGAGGACAAAGGGAGGAGGGGGTGTCATAAGACAAACTATGGTATTTTTTGAGCATGAGCACTTACTAAAAACAATCATTCACAATGCAGAGACATTCTGGCAGAGAAAGTGGCTCTTAAATTAGTGTTATCATAGCATAATAACTTTCACACTAACACTGGGTTCAGGATGTTCTAATTGCATGGACATTAATTCCAGTTTTATGCAGCAGAAGTTAATTTAGCGCTGGTTTACAGACAGTCCGTTTCCATTTAAAGCACTTATTGCAAAGCCATTAAGAGCAGAATTGTACTAATAGTGTTATTTACATACATTCACACTACATGGTGTAATGCACAAAAGGATAAAACTGAAAGAAAAAGCAGATAAACCTCGTTGCAGCCAGGATTGTCCACCAACTGATGGCTGCTGGCATGTAGAGGCTGTCCTGCATTTACGGGATTCAAAACCACTTTATCCCCAATAACAACCTAAAAGAGAAAAAAGCTCAAAATTAAAACATATTTTGTGAAGAAATTGTTTGTGGTTGTAGCACGAGCAATGACAGGCTGTCCCTCACAATTTTTATGTGACTGTCACGTCAACAACTTTTACTTCTATGGTAAAGCCAGGGGGAAAAAAAGTAAATAAATAAGCAAGCAACTAAATAAACTGAATAGATTTGAATAAAATTTATATAATTTATTTTATTTTATTTTTTGGTCACACACAAGCATACACTACGATGTGCAGTGAAATGCTTTTTATGACCTTCTGAACGTAGAATTAAATTTAACAAAAAAATTAATAATAAAAACATCAGAAATAGAATGTTCAACACAATGTAGAAAATATAATTTAAAAAACATAAGACAATGTATAAAAACAAGGATAGGATACAATGTACTATTATTCATTCGTCTTTTATTATGATTGTTTTTATGGTTGTTTATTAATAAACATAAATTGTTTATTTTTTTTACGTTTTATCTTTTTTAGTGTTGCAACTAAATGCTTGTGTTTTTCTACCACCCTAACCTAGAAGACATTGAAACTTCAACTTTATAACTAAATTACTGCCATGCAACTGTACAACTTAAGTCTGGCAGACTGTCACACACAAAAAAATCCAATAACGCATCTATACAACAGATTTGTATGTTCTATACTACAATCTACTAAGCTCAAAATAAATAAATTTTAATGTACTGTACTTAAGCTCATTTAGATAATTTCACTAACTGCTTTTAAATTGTATAGCTCAACACAACCCAATTTAAGTTAATATACTGTAGTGCCACAGTTTTGCAGTTATTTATATAAGACCAGGCTCCGTTTAGTTTCAAAGTATTGTCAGGGCTTTCTGTTACGGAGGCTTAGTATCAGCGGCGTTCTCCCACAGAGGCCATTTTTAATGGCATTAGCAGGGGAATTCAATGCTGTGAGCTTTGACATCATGTAACAGTCAGTGGAAGCTGATGTAAAAACACGCTTTACCCCAGAGGTCAGCAGCGGATGATACCCCATGGCCCCCATACAACAACATCTAATGGAGCAAACGAAGACTGTTTTATGTCTGGTTCTGTTTAGATTACATCTTTTACAGATGGTTAAAAGTTGTAGCTACAGCTCAGGCCATTTAGAGCCCCTGGTGCATAGCAGAGTACATTTGACAATCCAAGTTCCATTTATTTAGTTCTAAATTCAGCCTTACACCAAGGAATTGCACCTGAGACTGCTTGAAAGCAAGTGTAGAGTACTGAATTTATATAATTTGGCAGGACAACATTTCTCATTGCTGCTCACCTCTGCAGAAGTTGCCTTTGGGCAACAAGTATCATGATACATACACTACTGCTAAAAACTTTGATGTCAGTAATAAAAATTTAAAAAAAGGAATTTGAATGACTTTTCCTGAAGTCCACAATCATCGCCACTGTTTTGAGCGTGTTGAGCTCCAGGTTGTTAAGACTGCACCAGACAGCCAGCTGCTCGACCTCGCTTCTACAGTATATGCAGACTCGGCACTGTCCTGGATGAGGCCGATGACTGTGGTGTCATCTGCAAACTTCAGGAGCTTGACAGAGGAGTCAGTAGAGGTGCAGTCGTTGGTGTAAAGGGAGAATTGTCTAGATGTTGTAGGATATAATGCAGTCCCATGTTGACTGCAACATCCACAATAGTATCATAACTTAACACTATTCAGCAAGGATGCCTTAAACTGACAGTAAGTGACAGTAAAGGCATTTATATAGATCTTCTTTATGCACCAAGAGCTTGTAACACTCTAAAGAGAAAGGAAAAAATGAAATCGCATCATATGACCCCTTTAAACTGTGTTTTTTCACTCACACTGTCTCCTATGGAGCGTAGTTTGTAAAAGGGCTGTATGTAGAACCAGGAGCCTTCATTTCCAGCCGAGTCCAGCGTCACACGCATGGCGTTCTTTTCCAGCAAAGCAGGCAGTCGTTTATTCACCGTAAGGTACTTATTGCTTTTTAAATGCAACAGCTGCAAAATGGAAAGCACACAAATGTCCGATTTTAATAGTGCAAGGAACATTATGTAGAAAAGCTGGTATACCCATGGAACCCTTTTAGCTATACACATGAACATACTCAAGGTCACATGGCACAGTCTTACATTATGATAAATTATGTAGAACAATTATGAATGCAAGCTCAATGACACAGACACTAAAATAACACCGAACAATGGATTTCTGTCCTGCCAAGACCTCAATGGCACAGTGAGATACCTCTGCCAGCTGGCTGACCTACCTGAATAACATTTCCGTACTGTATCACCGTTCCCAGCAGCTTCCGGTTTTCTGATTCATTCTGTTTCTTCTCTAGATCAGCAGCATGCTGAAAAACAGAGGTGAAAATGCAGAATAAAATGACAACAAATACTGTATATAAATTCACATAAATGAAAGGTCTAGACAAGTTTATAAAACAAAATTTAAATGAATTATTTGATATATATGTAATGAAAATGAACCATATTTACTGTCATATTTAATTAAAAAAATTACACTTAATTTAAGTCCAATTTAATTAAAGATTCAATAAGATTCAGTAAAAAGGGGTATGGAAACTTGTTTCCACCAGGGTATAAAAAATAAAAATAAAAAGATAACTGTGACTTTTTAATCTCACAAAACATTTTTCTCCTTGCGAGTTTACGTAATGCGAGTTTGTGTCCTGCAATTAAAATTTTTTTTTTTGCTACAGAATTAAAAAAATGTTAACAGCATGTTTTTTCTGGGGGTTTTTTTGTTTTGTTTTGTTTTTTTACAAAGCTCAATTTAGCTCAATTTATTATTTTTTATTTTATTTTATCATCCCGTGGTGAAAACAAGCTTCCATAAGGGGCATAAGCCTGGATCCACAAAACCAAAATGTGGTACATATTGAACTCACATGTAATTTGTTGAGGAGTACAGTGTCTGTGGTGCTGTTTCCACCAGGTTTTGCTGCTTTCCAGAACTGTTTCTGCGCTGAGTACCTGTTCATTGGACACAACTTGAACAGACAGTCTGGAAGGAAAAGCAGAAAACACACAAAAACACCTTAAGTTCACACAAACATTTTCATCTGCCTTTATACTGTGCTAATCTTTTTTTTTTTTGGTAAGTATGTACATCTACAGTACCATCAGGAAGGCCCAACTTCATCCCAAGGCCCAAGGCTACCACTTCATCAACACCAAACCAGAAATGCGTTCTCTTTAACTTATACATCACTGTAAATTATTTAGCAGTATCACTACTTATCTAAATATATTTTTTATTTGTTTGTTTTATTTCCTTAAAAATGAAAAAAAAAAAATCATGAATATGTCTTTAACACATTATTATTTATCTTTTAGAGGTTTAACAGAAAATAAAAATCTTTTCAAGCCCCCCTTGAAACTGATTTAGTTGTTGGGAATCACTGGACTAACTGACCTTCCAAACACAAAACAAAGACTGCCATATATCCATCAGTACTGAATCACCAAGGTGTATTTAGCCATTTTTAGAAAGGATAGATGCAGGTTAATCTCAGGGACATTGTGACCCACCTAATTGTACACTTTACTATTCGATGAAATCATGAGGGTACCCGTGACTGCAGGCACAACTAACTAGAACAATTCATTTAGTTTGCAATAGGATTCAAGTTTGGCACATTAGTTAAAGGGGTCCTATTGTTGTCGTCCGCGTCCGTGAGGGGCTGCCGCTTTACTTTCATTTTGTGTTTATTTCATTAAAGTTTTCTTTAAATGTTCGCCGGTTCCCGCCTCCTTCTTCCCGTGCCTACGAACTGTGTTACATTATTATAATTTTTTTTTTTTACATTTAAACAAAACTTTAATAAAATAAACAAACACAAAATGAAAGTAAAGCGGCAGCCCCTCGCGGACGACTGCCGCACACAAAACAAAACACAAAATAAAGTCCAGGCCTGGTCCTCTCTCGTCCAACACTGTCGTCCCTCCTCCTTTTATCCTTCCGGAGCTCCTCCGTGGGACTCGAGACCAGTGAGTGGCGCAGGTGTCGTGCATTAGCATTTACTCCACCGGCCTCGCTCCGTTCCCACGGCTCTTGGCCCCACCCCTCTCGTCACAAACAGTACGAATATTTAATCATTTTTATTCATCAGCATAAAAAAATATTAATCTACAAATTTTTACTAAAACTGAAATTAAACTGAAAATACCACACTTTCTTTGAATAACTGAAGTTATTAGTCAATTCATTGAGCATACTGTTGTTTGTGCTACGGTCATGAATGATCTCTCAAATCATATTTCCTTATATCGCCTTAGATTACTAGTGATAGGATTTATGATATTTGGGGTGATAAAAAAAGGCTCTTTCAATGTTTTCAGCCAAGAAGCGTCAAGCCAAAACCATTTAAAAACCCTAGAAACCACCCAGAACACAAGCATTTTATGCTGAGAAGCAGTAAATGGTCTAACAGTCTTATACAATACAGTGTTTGATGCATTTGCAATGCCAAAATAAATAAAATTTTCACTACTACATATTAAATTATAATAATATACATATTTATATGTATAATAATAATAACAACCCTCTACATTGCGAGTAAATCACTCGCATATGCGACTAAATCTTCACTCTGGGCGACTAAATGATGTCTAATATTAGCCAATTGCTAATAAATTCTCAGATTTTACTCGCCAGTGTGAGTTGGAGGCTAAGTATAAGTTTAGCTCAGATATATTTTCACTCGCCGAACACTCTGACTGAGCGCATCAGAGTTTCACTCTCCGCCAAGCGATCTGTGCTGTGTTTCAGTTCATCTGATTGGATGTGCAACGCACCTGCTGGCGATTCAATTGCCAAGGTGTTCGTAGAGGGCTGAATAAAGATAATTATTAATACACATTTTGCCAGGTGAAACATCCCTTGCTCGTTGTAGGGAACACACCTCTTGTCACACATATAAACTCTGAGGATGAGATACTATCATGATGTTAACCAGCATGGTATGATCCTTGAGAACCAGTTACACTCTAATCTTATCATGATGGGACAAGGACTGCACTGAGAGCCGGGAACCTGACAGTGTGTAAAAGGAAGGAAAGACTAACAGGAAGGGAGGAAGACACCCAAGAGGACATGATAAAGTGTGACGGGTAAAAATAGCACTACGACCGCAGAGCGCACGGAGAAATGCGGCCAACGCTAACGCTAGCGCTCAGGGATTAGCGGCCAGGGAACTAGAGGTGGAGGGGGGGAAAAGAAAAAGAAACACTGAAGAGGGGAGGTGGAAAGTTAGGAGAGGAGCATTTGAGGGGAAAGTGTGACAGAGGATGGCGATGAGAAGGAATGATGGAAAGAAATGTAGGTTGATGGTGCCGAGGGGCAACGCTAGGTTAAACTCAAGAGATGAGAGGGAGTTAGCATGCTAAACCACACCAAAACAAACACTACATGCTGTCAAACAGTTATGGACACAAACTTACAGAAGAAATGCACAGTTTTAAAAGAAACCCCTACCACCACTCCATTTACAAACATTTACCATGATTTTACAATAATAACACTAACTGTATGGTATTTTGGCCAGAAATATTAACATTATAGCCAATACTGATGAGCCGAATAATGTTTTCATGTAATGGCAGAAAACTGATAAATGGCAGATATTAAAATGCTATACTATTTGTTTGAATGATTAAAAATAAACTAATAAAAATCACCCACTTTAAATGCTGAATTTATGCATTTATGAATTATGTACAGCATAAAAATTTATTTTTATATTCTGAAATTTGCTAAAGATTACATTTACCAGTGTTGATATTATAAATTATTAGTGATTTAAACTTAACTTTAAATTAGGAATTAAATAACCATAAAGGTCAAATTAAAACAAAAGGTAAAAAATAAAGCAAATGAGCATAAACAATTAACTATGCACTAAATTTCTCCACTAAATATATACAATATCAGCTGATATTACAGCAATGCACAGTTTGTGCAATTGTAATAAATATAACTATATTGTGTGTATCTATCTATCTTTATAGTTATCTGTGTACCCTGAAGGCCATGCTCACACGTGCATATGTACTCTAAATGTACTGAAATACTATCTACATACAGACTTTCACAAATTCACATAAACGCTGAGCAAATTAGTGTCATGAGCTGTCAAAGCATTACTCATAATGCTACGATAGGCATCTCATGTCTGTTCCAGAGCCAACAAACACAACCGTTCATGTTCACTCTCACTTTTGTTTTTCTGTAGTAAGCAAAACCAGTCTGAGATTCAACGCCCTGTCTGAGATGATTACAATAAGAGGATCGATTTTCAAAAAATTCCTTGAGGGAAATGGTTAACATACTGAAGCTGACCTTCAGCTTTAGACACTTTACTTTTGTAGAAAAAAAAAGTCTGTACAATCACAGATTTGGTCTATTTACCATCCATTTTAACTGAACAACAGCATCAAAACTCACATGCTGGACATGTATTTGTTAGCCAAAGTTTCAGAGACACTCAAGAGATAACAAAATGATCACTATCTTGTTGCCCATGGTCATCGCTAAAATTCACAGGATATAAACTGAATGGGTGTTTCTTGACAGTATGCTATAGCGGGCTGCTGCTCCTCACAGGACCCTGGGAGTACGTTTGTGGCCGTGACCCAGGATCAGAAAGGAAGGGCAAACCTTTGAATGACACTGCAAGGCTCTCTGGAAACCAGGCCTTTTAAACAGCTTAAGCAGTCTATTAATACCATGAAGGATCTAAAGATTTAGTCGTGGCAAGCTTTCAAAGCAGAAGTACAGTGAGCAAAGCCCTACCACTACTTGTTCTGCTACAGCTACCTACAGAAAGCAGGAGAGAAAGGAGGAAAAAGGATACTGTATTATTTCAGAAAAAGCTCAGGTGTTTCCCCCATTATAGCCTTGCTCATAATAGCAGTATCATAATGTAATGAAATACAGTGTTTACATGTATGTATGTATGTATGTAAAAAAATAAAAAAAACCTTTTATTAATAATAATAATTGTAAATTATTATTGTACATATTGTCCACCTTTGACTGGAGATTTTTGGAGCGAGGAGCAGGTGAGCTTTTCACTGACCATGACTGCATCTCTATTGTCACAACACAATACATCCATTGTTCAAGCCTTGTATCCATTTCAAGACCAGTCCAAAAATCCTGAAATTTAGACATTCAATAACAAAAAAAGATCCAGCCTGGCATATAAACATGACACACAGTGCCTTGAAATGTATGGAAAAGCCTTTTGAAAAAGCAGTTTTTGAAAAACAGTATGAAAGCAGTTAGGTCTTACTGGTTTGGAATGACATGGGTGTGAGTAATTAATGACACAATTTACATTTTTGGGTAAACTATCCCTTTAAGACAAGCCAATTTACATCCAAATGGCATCTAAATTTACATACAATTCAAACCCAAAGTTTAGCCATAAACTACCAAATTTCTCTGGATTCATTCAGACTTACTGAATGGAAATATATATCTGTACTGACCTGTACTATCTTGCAACGTGTGAATGTTGTAAACTGTTAATATAGGCACGAAAACAATAATGCCACAGATGCTTATTAAACAGATTCAAAGTAGGGCTGGGTATCGATTCAGATGTCCCGATTCGATTCGATTTCGATTTCGCAAGCTCTCGATTTGATTCGATTCTCGTTTTTTTTTTATTACATTCAGTGAATATAGTTTTAATACAAATGCTATTGATATTTCTAAAAAATGAACAGTAAACATCAGTTTACAAATGGTGAATTAATAAAAAGAAATTAAGAACAACATGCCTGTATTTTAAACCTATTATTTTTTTTGTATAGGGTCCTTTTTTAAACAATAATAGGGCCCTATAAAATGTTCTTAATTTTTCTGGTAATCAGATGAAGGCATAAAACATTAATTTAATTTATCCTAATCAAATGAAAATTAAACCCTTTTATTTTTTGGCAAACAAAGTGCTGCACAACAGAGGTTTACTGTTAAAATTTAAAATAAAACAG